AATTGCCTAGATCATTCAAAAATTATTAGATGAAAACAATCAATATGAAACAGAAACTTTACCTACTTGTTCTGACTTCAACCAAAGGCATTTAAATATACCAAAATTTATTTCAAACGACTTGAATCCCATCAATATTAGGTTAGGTCAAAAGTGAGTAGGTCTATAATAGTAATTAAAATGTCCGAAATGTTGTTCTACAAACACATATAATAAAAAAATGTGTCTCATTTGTGTCGATTTGTTATTCTACACGGTTGTCGAAAAAAATAGTGTACGCAACACGCCCGAAAACATTTTTTTTGACTCGCAAACTTCGGCTCGTCCTAGAATTTTAACTATTCGTCCGAAAAATCAGTATTTTGAAAGAAATTAATTCATTGGATGTTAAGTAAATTTCTCATTCCTTTCCTAGGTTGTATCTCACATTTGAAGATGAAGACGTGTAATACTGTTTGATAATGAATAGAACACTAACATTGTTTCAGTGATGACATATTTATTTAATTTGTTTGTACAGGGTGAACAAAAATTAATATTTATTTACACTCAGCCACGTTCAAAAATTTTAACCTCAAAGTATTTTTTGCGAAGACTCGAGTGGAACATTTTTGTGTATCGAACACAACAAAAATTGAATAACAGAGTATCAGAATGTTCGAACTGCTGTCTATTAAGGGCGAAATGAGGCCTAAAACGATGAAAAAAAGGTTTGAAGAACGTAATCTACCATTTTTGGGACTATTAAGCTTGACAAATCATTTTCTTCATTGCCTCAACATTTTGAGATCAAAGTGAACTTTACTTTTTGAGTAACTCCTGAGGAAATATTCCAACGGGCTCAAATCTTGTGATCTTACAGGCTATTCAATAGGTACCCGTCTGCCAATCCACCAATTGGGAGATATTTTTAGAAAACCCGACTTTTACCCACCAATTATCCATTGGAATAAATAAAGGCACGTGTCTTTCCAATACAAACCAGAAGAGAGAATCCTACCAAAACAATTACTTTCCTCGACAAATATTGAACAAGAGCAACCTGGCATTCAAAGAGTTCGAAACTTTCACCAGAGATTTTCGTTTAGCATTAAGAAAATTGAACCCGGTGACTCCTCATTCTTCGATATTATTTCACAAAAGTATTATCCCTTATCTCTATAACAAAATAACATCGAAATTATGTTCATAAAGAAGCATAATTAGGGCGTAATGTGATCGTTGTTGTTAGGCACTTCATCGAACGCGATTATCACCATTATCGGTTGAGTCCTTCATTTTTTGTTGTTGTTTTGTGTTTTTCAATGATGCAAGAGAAGGAGTGGAGTTTTCCAATCTATAACATATATTTAACATTACTGCACCATGTCGATAAATTCATTTATCATTATTATTAATTGATTTTTTTTTCGTTCATATGAAAGATATTATTTATATGTGAATTTCGAAGACCGATACCATTCTTATCACTTATTCAGAATAGTTATAGATGTTATTGAACCGTTATCTCGTTATGGTACTACTGATTGATGCACGTGACCGCCATATATTTAGTACTACTACTTATCAATACTACATCAAGTAAGTACCCAAAAAGGTTTTGTATTATTACGCATACTGATTAACATTCATGAAAAATTAACATGAAGATCGATCAAGTTGAGCCCGCTTTGTACGCTAGAACTTCGATGGATAGATAATGTTTCGACGTGACAAATATGATATGTATCATATAGAGAAGTGTGTATCACATAATCTGCTGAGGTACTTATTGTAAATAGATTGAAATTCGAATAGATTTTGAGTACTTGATTAGATACTACCATCAAAAAGCAGATAAATAATCGAAGCGAAGGGATACTTGCTCATCTCGCTGTTTTCGCTCAAATGCCAATAAAACTTCTCTTTTTATCATTGCAAAGATATGCTGGCTGTTCAAAAAACGAAGTGAATTTTCATTTTTCTCAAAAACTATTTATTTATTCATCGGTTTCTACTTTGTCTCCTTCAAAGTAGCCCCCCTTAGATATAATACACTTATGTCAGCGCTTTTTCCAATCCTCGGTATGTCCTTGAGCTCTCTCGGCGATTGAGAACAGAAGAAAGTCGCAGGGGGCTAAATCAGGTGAATACGGAGGTGAATACGGTGTTGTTTTTGACCAAAAAATTACGATCAAGCTATGACGAGTAAGCAAGTGCATTATCGTTATGCAAAAGCCTTGAAATGTTGTTCCACGATACCGGACGTTTTTTTCGTATTGCTTCTAGCAAGCGGCGCATAACTTCAAGATAGTACTCCTCATTGCCGTATGACCATGTGGTAACAACTCCAGATGCACTACGCCACAGCAATCGAAGAAAACAGTGAGCAAAACTTTGATACTTGAAAGAACGTGTTTTTTGGTTGTGGCTCTCCTAGGTTTTTCCGTTGGGACGATTGAAATTTGGTTTCGATGTCATAACCATTTACCCATGATTCGTCAGCAGTTACTATCGTTTCAAGCAAATCTGGAACGCCGTTGACGACATTCAACAATTCCTAAGCGATGCTTATACGACAGTATTTTTGGTAAAAATTCAGCAAAAATAAAAAAAATGCAAACTGTGTAAACTTAGAAAATAAAATACCGTGCACGATTTCTTCAGTTACTTGATAACATTGTTTTTCCCGTAAGAGGGCGCCAAAATGGAAAGTAACGTAGTGAACAGTGACATGAACGAATTCCTTATAAAATTACCTTTTCAATATTGTGTTCTATTCAAATTCTAAGGGCGATGACATCAACCAATACTTTATTGTTATGGTAAAGTATTTCAACCCTTACATTTAACTCTTTTCGATAAAATGAACTTATCCATGGCTTGTTACTTATTCCGCTATCTCAACATGTTTTTTTTTTGATCATATCGACAATCATAATTTGAAGGCATTACACCCCTTCCTGTCCCTTTTCCACCTCAAGCTTTAAAAACATGTGCTTCGTACTATCAACATAGACAATGACAATAATTGGGCTAGTCCCAACAACAGGACTATCTGTTTTGCTATAAACTACATTCTACCCAAATGTGGATGGGTCTGTCCCAGTCTCATTCGGTTTTACAAATGACCTTCGTTGCCAACTGGCCGGATAGCCCCGGTTGCTGAGGCCAGTGGGTGGAAAAGAAGAACAAGCGCAGATTAGGACATAACAGTTATGTTGGGTTAGGTTAGGTACTATTCAGTACTATTCTAAGGGCGATGACATCGACCAATATTTTCTTATGGTGAAGTATTTCAACCATTAGATTTAACTCTTTTCGATAAAATAGACATATCCATATCTTGTTACTCATTCCGCGCTATCTCTACATGTTTTCTTTTTTGATTTGATCATTTCAAGGCATTTGAAGGCATTATACCCCTTCCTCTCCCTTTTCCACCCCATTTTACCCAAATGCGATGGGTGGATGGGTCTGTTCCAGTCTCACTTGGTTTTACAAATGACCTTCGATAACAACTGGCCGGATAGCCCCGGTTGCTGAAGCCAGTGGGAGGGAAAGAAGAATAAGGGCAGGGTAGGACATAACAGTTGAGGTTAGGTAAGTTTAATCTAGTTTAATTTAGTCTATTTTCTTTTTTAAATTAAAAATCGACCTGTTTTTTCTCAACCAATGTGTCCTGAAGTTATTGGATCTGTTTTGTTTTCGGTGTGCCGCGCACTGTATACAAATCTAGATGACATTTTGAAATAAAACTGACATTGAGAAAAAAAACTGGTTCACCTTCATCAAACCATCATTAATTAACACATATTTCAACCTCTATCAAAACATTCATAAAACCAAAACGAATCCTTATGAACTGTATTGTTATTGCTGGATTCAACCTGAGCATCACTCGGTACTTATGTCGTTAATGGGATTTTCTTAGATCTAATGAGCTTAGGGAAGAATTGACCCTGAAACATGACTTGAATTATAGTTTGAAAAAATGCGCAGGGTCATTGACCTGATTTACGTCGTTTGCCGAACTAGAAAATAATGGACTTGGTGAATCATTTATTGCCAAACACATACTTCTAATGTTGTTTAATGTATAGATTATAGCGGAAGGAGGTCGTATAAAAGTTTCGTAAGACTACAATTGAGATTCGCTTGAATCAAGAATTATAAATGGATCGCCCATACATTTACAATTATTTTGAAGAAATAACCGAACTCTAAAGATGCAGAACAGATTTCGTCAATAATACAAAAATATATTTTTCATCGCCTACATGTTTGATCGATACCTATTAATCTATCAAGAATAATACTTCTGCTGAAATGACATTTATACTAGAACTTTATAGTCTGGGAGCTAGCGAGCATTTTAGTGTATTTTTATTCGACTGAAAATCATACCATTGATTTTCCCAGATACCGAAGCAAATACTTTTTGAAGAGAAAAAAATTATTAGCAACATAAAAATAACTGAAAAAGAAAGAACATGGTGGGTTTATTGTGAGAAATATAAATGAAAGTCGATCCAAGGTACGGGATATGGAATCTGGTGAATTTCAGGGAGAAACATTGTTTTTCATGTTTTCCATTGCAACGAGAACTTCTCCTTAAAAAGTTAAATACCACGTTGTAGGAAATATAAAGAACATTTTCAGAAAAAAATTGATCTTTTTCTCCTACAAAAAATAATTTGGTTTTCACGCTAATTGGTGGAAACTAGTCTTCTCTTAGTTTCAATATACTGCAATTGTTTTGAATCGGAATATTCAGTATTATACTTCATTCCTAGGTTTTATTTGAAAAAATACCACATTTTTGGCTTCATCTTTCAATGTTTGTTCAAACCAAAACTTTTTACCTTGACAAATAATCATTCCTTAACGATGTTTAGGAAACCAGTTTTAACTTCAATACTAAACCACGGTAGTTTTTCTCTACAAATAATTTTATCACGTCTGCCTCATTATTATTAGAGATTTTCTAAATTTAGACATAAAAATTAAAATTCACTCACCCACAAGTGCACAATTCACAAATACATTGCTCCTTCAAAGGCACCTTGAAACGTGGCTTCGGCTCAGGTTCTTGGATCACTTTCTCGATGTTGATGACCTTATTTTCAGATATCCTCTTGATATTCGTTATGTTCTCCACCTCGTTCTGGAAAGAAAACATTAAATTCCACAAACAACCCTACAATCGACTGAAATAACTTACGATCTCCTTTATGTCTATGATGTCTTCCCTGATGAAGGTCTTGTCGATTCTGTCCACAACGTCGGTGGTGAAATCCTCAACGACGGAAGTGATTGGCTTTGGCCCTTTCGAGTCCTTACTTGGTGTTACTCGTTTAGGTTCTTTAGGTCCTCTGTCGTCGGTGGTTCTCTCATAGTACTCGACGGTGCTTTCATTGGTGATGAATGTTTCTGAAGTTTTCGAATCAAAGGTAGTTTTACTATCATACACCGTTGTTGAAAAAGGGAAATCTATAGTAGGTTGTAACTCTTTTTCACCCGGCTTTGGTACTCGAGAATCAGGTTTGGATGGTCTACCAGCTACAGGCATGTCTTCAGGTCTCAACTTTTCTTTTCTACCTGGCGTTTTTTCTTCTGGATGTTTCCTATCTGTTGTTGAAGGTTCCTCAGGCTTTTCAGGCTTAGAAGGTCTACCAGCTACAGGCATGTCTTCGGGTCTCAATTTTTCCTTCCTACCTGGTGTTTTTTCTTCTGGATGTTTCATATCTCTAGTTGAAGGTTCGTCAGGTTTTTCAGGCTTGGAAGGTCTACCAGCTACAGGCATATCTTCAGGTCTCAACTTTTCCTTTCTACCTGGTGTTTTTCCTTCTGGCTGTTTTCTATCGTCTATAGTTGAAGGTTCCAGAGGCTTATCAGGCTTAGAAGGTCTACCAGCCACTGGCATATCTTCTGGCCCTAACCTGTCCATTTTTCCTGGCCTTTTCTCTTCTGGACGTTTTTTATCTATACTTGACGGTTCTTCAGGTTCCTTCCTCCTAGATGGCATTCCTGCTGTTGGTGTTTCTTGTATTTTTTCTGGCTTCGAACCTTCCGGAAACTTTTGATCAGGTTTACGCTCGAAATCATCATCAATATAGGTGACTTCTTCTATAAGGTAAGTTGTATTACCAATGGTTTTGGTTGTTATCGTATCATAGGTTTTTATTAAGTTATCAACACCGTCGAATATTGAATTTGGATATTCTCCAATTTCTGGTTCTCTGATGGGCTTAAGATCTTGATCTCCCGGCTTTGGTGCACCATAATCCGGTTTGGATGGTCTGCCAGCTACTGGCATATCTTCGGGTCTCAATTTTTCTTTTCGGCCAGGTTTTCTTTCTTCTGGATGTTTTTTATCAGTAGTAGAAGTTTCCTCAGGCTTTTCAGGCTTAGAAGGTCTACCAGCTACAGGCATGTCTTCGGGTCTCAACTTTTCTTTTCTACCTGGCGTTTTTTCTTCTGGATGTTTCCTATCTGTATTCGAAGGTTCCTCAGGTTTTTCAGGCTTGGACGGTCTACCAGCTACAGGCATGTCTTCAGGTCTCAACTTTTCCTTTTTACCTGGGGTTCTTTCTTCCGGCTGTTTTTTATCAGAAGTTGAAGTTTCCTCAGGCTTTTCAGGCTTAGAAGGTCTACCAGCTACAGGCATATCTTCAGGTCTCAACTTTTCTTTTCTACCTGGCATTTTTTCTTCTGGCTGTTTTCTATCTGTTAAAGGTTCCGAAGGCTTTTCAGGCTTGGAAGGTCTACCAGCTACAGGCATGTCTTCAGGTCTCAACTTTTCCTTTTGGCCAGGTTTTTTGTCTTCGGGATACTTTCCATCTGTAGGCTTTTGATGTATGGGTTGTCCTTTTGGAAATTCATCACCCGGTCTACGTACAACACCATCCTCAATATAGGTAACTTCTTCAACAACGAATGTTGTGTCGCCGATAGATTTAGTTGTTCTCGAATCGTATGTTTTTGATACAGTTTCAAGACTATCAACTAATGTGGTTGTAGAACTTAGATAATCCTCATCTCTGGGTTCTTTGACGGGCTTCAGATCTTTATCTCCTGGTTTTGGTGATCGAGAATCAGGTTTAGATGGTCTACCAGCTACAGGCATGTCTTCAGGTCTCAACTTTTCTTTTTTACCTGGGGTTCTTTCTTCCGGCTGTTTTTTATCAGTAGTTGCAGTTTTCACAGGCTTTTCTGGTTTGGATGGTCTACCAGCCACTGGCATATCTTCCGGTCTCAATTTTTCTTTTTGACCAGGTTTTCTTTCTTCGGGGTACTTTCCATCTGTAGGTTTTTGATGTATGGGTTGTCCTCTTGGAAATTCATCACCTGGTCTACGTACAACACCATCCTCAATATAGGTAACTTCTTCAACAACGAATGTTGTGTCGCCTACAGTTTTAGTTGTTCTCGAATCATATGTTTTTGATACAGTTTCGAGACTATCAACTAGTGTGGTAGTTGAACTTGGATAATCCTCGTCTCTGGGTCCTTTGGCAGGCTTCAGATCTTTATCTTCGGGCTTTGGTACACGAGAATCAGGTTTAGATGGTCTTCCAGCTACAGGCATGTCCTCGGGTCTCAATCTTTCCTTTTTGCCGGGTGTTTTCTTTTCAGGTTGTGTTTTATCTGGAAGCTCCGGTTCATTTCTTCTAGATGGCATTCCAGCTGCTGGTATTTCCCTAATTTTCTGTGGAGCAGATCCTTTCGAAAATGTATCTCCAGGTATACGTTCAATATCATCTTCAATGTAGGTATGTTGTTCAACAATAAAAGTCGTGTCACCAATAGTTTTTCTCGTTGTCGACTCATGTGTTTTCAATAGAGTTTCTGTACTATCAATTACTGTAGATGAACCTGAATAATTTTTATTTTTGGGCCTCGGATCTTCATCTCCAGGCTTTGGTGAACGATACTCAGGTCTGGATGGTATTCCAGCTTCTGGCATGTCTTCAGGTCTCAACCTTTCCTTAAGACCTGGTGTTTTCTTTTCAGGTTGCTTTTTATCTGCAGTTGGAGGTTTTTCGGGTCCCTTTCTCGCGGACGGCATTCCAGCTGTTGGCGTCTCTCTTATTTTTTGGGTATCTCGTCCTCTTGGGAATTCGTCACCTGATTTCCTCTCGATACCATCTTCAGTATAGGTAACTTCTTCAACAACGAAAGTTGTGTCGCCAACAGTTTTTGTTGTCCTTGAATCATATGTTTTTGATACTCTATCAAGGCTATCCAATATTGTCGTTGTACTAGAATAATCCTCATCTTTGGGTCGTTTTGTAAGCTCCCGATCTTTATCACCTGGTTTTGGTGATCGAGAATCCGGTTTTGATGGTCTACCAGCTACTGGCATGTCCTCAGGTCTTAGCCGTTCCTTGTGACCGGGTGCGTTTTTCTCAGGTTGCCTCTCATCTGTGGTTGAAGTCACTTTTGGTTCCTCTCTTCTGGATGGCATTCCTGCAGTTGGTATCTCTTTTAGTTTTTGTGGCTGTGATCCTCTTAGGAATTTCTCACTATGTTCACGTTCAATACCACCATCAACATAAGATATGTCTTCAACAACATAAGTGGTGTCACCAACTGTTCTGGTAGTTTTCGAGTCATATGATTTTGATACAGACGCGAAACTATCTGAAACTATTGTCGAACTAGAATAATCTTGGTTTTCTGGTTGTCTAGCTGTGTCCTGTTTAGATGGTCTTCCGGCAACGGGCATATCCTCGGGCCTCAATCGTTCTTTCATCCTTGGTTCAGGAGTGTCTTGCCTGGTGGGTTTGCTAGGCCTTCCGGCTGGAGGGAGTTCTTCGGGATTTAACCTATGTCCACTTGTAGAAGATTTGGGTCTTCTATCTCTCGTTTGCTCCTTAGGGGTATCTACAACCCTTGAAGGTTTTCCCGCAGTTGGAATGTAACCAGACTGTGTCACTTGGTCGTCAGATATAACCTGTCTGTCATCAGTATAATATTTAACAACGTGAGAGTGATCGGAAACATTTGCTGAGTCTCTAATATCAGAAAAGGTTTCGTAGTACTCAGTGGTACTACTGGTGACAGTTTCTGCTGAGTCCTTGACAGTTTTATGAGTTTGATGAACGCTGGTCTCGTTGTCAAGGAATTCTGTTGTTTGTCTTATATTCTCTGGCATCCTGGAAGGTCTGCCAGCAACGGGAAGCTCTGTTGGGGAAGTTCTTGGAGCTTTGGTAGGTTTCCATCCAGGAGATGTTTTTTGGTCCACTCTGCTATCTACAGTGCTGGAAACCTCGCTATTTGAATCTGTGAACTGTTTAATGTTTTCCATAGTTTCAGTTTCGATGAAGCTGTAGCTGTCAGGTGATTTTTTCTTAGAAGGAGCACCGGCAGCTGGCAGGTCTTCCGGAGACAGCTTTTTTGGTTTCCTAAAGGTGGAATCTGGTTGTCTAGGCTCCGGTGATTTTTCAGATGGTTTGGAAGGCTGTTTTCCAGTGGAAGTTTCTTTGCGGTTTTCGGGGGGTGACTCGTAGGTGAAGGCACCGTTCCAGCCGGTTTTTCCGTAGTTTCTGTCATTGGAATACACGATATCGGTACTGTCTATGGTTCGGTCAATAAATACTTTTCCTGCTGTACCTATTGTGTTTTGGACGGCCTTTGAATCGTATACATTTTCCACCGTGGTTTGAGAAGAGTCGATGCCATGGCCGTAGAAGTCTTTGGAATCGGTATTCAAGTGAGCATTGCTCGTTTTGTGTCGGTCCATATACTGTTGGCTGGTAGAATCTCTACTGTCTGTGTTTTTGTATGTAGTATTCTCAATATTTTCTGAAAAGTTTGTTGTAGAATCAACGTGACTAGACTCGCTGTTATCAACTATGTGAGAGTAGGAATCTGAGCTGTAATCCTCTGTAAGGGAACCGCCAGGAATGATGTCCACATCGACGTCGGTAACGGTTTTGATGACCTTACCATTGGCATCGTAGTACGTGATAGTGGTTGTAGTCGTAGCTGTTGCATCTTCGATTTGAGAACTAGATTTTAGGGCAGTATTGCTGGAATGCGATTGGTGCTTGGTGGTAGTGCTATCCAAGCTTTTGGAATGTACGGAGTTTTTTCCAGTTTGAACAACGTTAGAACCTATTTGGCTATCAGTCTTTTCGGTGTTTATAAATTGTTTAGTCTTATCGCTAATGGAAATATTGCTTTTGTCCGTCAGATAAGTATTGTGGACAGCGTCCACGGAAGAAGAAGTATGATCACCTACCTTGTGAGCTTCTTTGACCACCTTTGAGAACCTCGTCTTGGGCTGCGAGAGCTCTGGAACAGCTGAATCGTACCTGGTAGAACTATCTACGAGCGAGTGTTTGGAATGCTCTTCAGGTACAATGTTGGTACCGCGTCTCTTGTCCAGTCTGGCGTCTTCACTTTTGTGGGTGGAGTTTCCGGATTCGTGGTGCTTTTCATCGATCACCGTCTCTTTGCCGTCCACGATCTTGATGACACGGCTGCTGGAAGAGCTCTTCGCCGTGGATGTGCTCTCTTGATGAGAGCTGGAGGAGAACTCTTCGACGAAGGTGTGGTCACCGTTCTTCGAGAGTTGGTTCTTGGATGTTTTGCCTTTTCCGACCGGCTGTTCGTGGAGAAACTTGCCGTTCCAGCCTGAATCGTTTTTGTTGTACGTCAACTTGACTTCCTCCATAGGCTCAGTCACTGTGTAAGTAGATCCCGAGATTTGGGACAGGTTGGAAATGGACTGGTTGAGATTCGACGTAGATTGGTTCAAAATCGAGCCGATCTGTTGTATTTCTGTAGACGATGTATCGGCATCTCTCGAGATGAAATGCCTATACTCTGTGGAAGTTGCTCCGGATTCCCCGTATGTGGTTAGTTTTTCGCCGGCCCCCGTAGGCAGGGATTCCGTAACGACGTATGAGACGACTTTAGCGTTCACTGGCAGATGCGAAACGTCCGCGATCTGTAGACTGGACGAAGAGGAAGACTTGGATAGGTTTCCGGAAAGCCCAGTTTCAGTTCTCGACGAAGAACTCTGTACCACTTTGGAAGACTTCGTTGCGCTCGTGCTGGAAGTTGCTGTGGTGGTCGAGGAGGATTTCTTTTTCGTTTTGGTTGCCGTTTCGGCTTTTTTCACTGTCATTTTAGGACACTGTCGTTCGCACTGTTCGTTCAAAGTTCAACGAGTATTTCGGTCGGCGCGCTAGTTTGAATCGACTGTTCGCGGTCGCGTTATTTTTGAAAGTGAAGTCTTGCAGCGGTACCAGCAACAGGTTGGCGAGTGTGCGATCGCTACGTCACTTTGTTGCTCTCCCACGTTTGTTAAATCTTATACTTTTATGGCCAGTCTGCGACGAGGAGTTGGCCCGATTCGTCACTTTCTAATGATTCAATAATGAGCAACCTTCGATCCGAACGCCGTATGATAATACTTGTGTTGATATTTTTCGCGTCTTGCACTATTTTTAGGCAACGTTGTGTTTGTTAATCGACTTAAACGCGAAATAACACGAAACGCTGAAAAAATTACGATTTCGTTGTGAATCTATGAATATACATTGATAGGAGCTGTTATCCGTAGCGAATGAACTTGAAATAATGATTGATATGTCGTTTGAGGATTAGATTGGTTAGGATAAAAGACATATCGCATAGATTTGTTTATCGTAATGATTTTGTTCACAGAGAACTAGAAACAGTCTGTTTATACAGGGTCGTCCATGTTAATTGAAGAAGAAGAAGAAGAACTTTATTTCCAGATAGGGAAGCCTAATATAAACATAATTGATGTATTTTATCTGAATATAATACATAAAAATCAAAATAAATTAGTCTATTATAACCAAATAACAGAAAATCACAAAAAAAACTATATCGCACATATTCTATATAGGATACACGTTTACATATTTACTTATATATCCATTCAAAACAAAGTCTTAGTTATTATTATATTTCAAATATAAATTGGCTTTAATTCAGTTTTTCGTTATGAATGTTACTAAGTTCCTCTTGAAAAGACGGAGAGAGGAAGAGTGTTTTATATTATTTGGTAGTTTATTGAAACTGTCCAGACTTTTGAAAAATAACGAGTTCATACTGCTACGTGAATTTGTCCCTGGGATGTGAAAATTGGTGTTCGATCTAGTATCATAATGATGTACTTCCTGTTTGTGATTAAAAGGTTCACTAAGTATGTTGGTTGCGATTTATTTATTATTTTAACTATAAATATCATAGTTTGATAATACAATCGTTGAGAGACATTAAGCCACCTTAAACTACAGAGCTTATTATGTATAGGTGTCATTCTATTGCAGAGTAATATTATTCGCATTCCACGATTTTGAAATGTTTGTAATTGATATAATTTGTTCTGATTCAAGAGATATAAGAGAGTCCCGCAAAAATCGTAATGAGGTTTTATTATGCAATTATAGCACGTTATTTAGGCATACATCGATAATACAGATGCCACTCATGAAAAAAAATACAGTTTCTTTGATATTTTGCTTATCACATAGTCAGCATGATCATTCAATGAAATTGTATTATCTACAATGAACCCTAGATTCTTAATTTTACTAACTATTTCAGTTTCGTTAATTTTAATTTTGACTGTGTTTCTCCCAATTTTATTTTGTTTATACTTTCTTGTAATGATCATCGCCTTAGTTTTAGTGATATTGAGTTTCAGTTCATTTATTCCAAGATACAACTCAATATTTTTCAATGAATTATTCATTTTTTCAATAGCGACTTGAAAGGTTTTATCGTAGGTATATATTAATATATCATCTGCGAATAAGTCAATCACATGATCACCATCTACGTAATTGATATCGTTTATATAAATCATAAATAGTAAAGGTCCTAATACACTACCTTGTGGAACACCAATACCATAATATTTGAGCTTTTGGATTGATATATGTCTATTGTTTCGAATGTCCTCTTAAAATCCAAGAATGTACAAACAACGTGATTATCTTTATCAAATTTTTCTTTCCAATTTGTTATTGTGAACTGTAAGGCAGCCTCATACGAATGTTTTTTCTGAAGCCTGAGTGACAACCTAAAAGTAACCTGTTTTCATCAAAGTATTTGTTGAGTTCCTCATTCACTGCTAATTCCAATACTTTTTCAAGGGTTGGAAGAGTATTTGATAGGACGAAAATAACATTTTTGGTATTGGTATAACTGTATTGTGAATTCTAAATTATTCTGTGAAATATTTGTTTTATGAAAAATGAAAACCTCCTTTGTTTTTATACCACTTGTATTTGTGACTAACGTTACTGCAGTTTCGTCCTGCAAGGCATTTCCAAGGACAATAAACTGAAATAATTAGCAATGTTAACCCTTATACATCTTTTCATGAACTACACCTCACGATTTGAACTCCACAAACTTTATTTGAAAAAGTATATCACGACATGTTTCGCTAGCACAGTAGCTTTTTCAACAATACTACAAGTTGCTTCTTACGCTAATATTTTTATACCAAAGGTAACTACAATTGGGACTATCTGCATCAAATTACCTAAACCTCTACAATTCTTATATACCTGAGGTACCTCTTCAATTATGTTTACCTGAAGCTTATAACCTCACTCATCAATAATAATACTTCCTCAGGTTTTTTAAAGAAAACTAGTTGAATAATTATCTATTGAAAATTATCTGCTAATATAAGCTACTCCTTTAAATTATGTCAATATAAAAAACATAATATAAACAAACGATACAGCCAAAAATTCATTCAATCGATAGTTTGTAGAGTTTGTTAGTATTTGGGAATTAGGAATTGTGTTTAAAATATCCGAGTTCCAATAGACGTTATTTGCTGATAATGGTGGAAACATTACAAATTTGAAGAGCCACATAAAAATTAGAAATTTTCTACTAATACGTATCTTCTGTTCGAAGTTCAGTATTTGATACAAAAAAGAGTTGAAATGCATGAAATCTTGTTCTACAAAAAATATAATAAAGAAATGTGTCTCATTGATTCGTTATTCTACACGGTTGCCACAGTTACGGTTCGTCCTAGAATGTTCTCGTAAAAACTTGTTTACGTAAATTACTATTCATTAGAAATCATATCGTACACATTTCACCAGATATGCACGTTCAACTGGAATTCATCAGTAGCTGAAATGTAAATTGAATGTTTTTCTCCTGTTGGAATAAATGTATCCAAAACTTGTTTATTTCTTTCAATCCATAGCAATAATTCCTCACAGACGCAACTGCTTCTGGTAATTCTTCAAAGCATATTTCAAACAATGAAGCAAACCTACGCAGACTGAATCATCGTCGCGGACAACTTAGATATGTAGGTTTCGATCGTATATTTATAAAACTTGTTTACCAAGGAACGAGTTTCATGGTTTCGTACCATATTTAAAAAATGTTTTCCTCCAAATTAATGAATCAGATTCTGAAAACAAAAAATAATTTCCGAGCTATTTATGTCGACCTACAATTCGCAAGGCAAATGTTTATTTTTTATCTTTCGTGTCGCAAAAAATTTAATCAGTAGGTAACACATACTTTCCTGTCAAATGAATTGATAAATCATGTTTGAAATTGGTTTTTCTATTTCAAAGAAATAGTGCAGATTAGGGATTTTTATCAATATTATCTGTGGAGTTTTGAAGTGGTGATATTTTATTTATTTACAAATTGAAATTGCTTCAGATTGTGAATGTTTCAATTCATGGAGTTAAGACTATCTTTTTCAGTCTGTTTTAGTATCACCATCAATTTTGAATTTGACTTTTATTCTTTTTTTTAAGCCCATTAATGTTACAAAACTGGTTAGAAGAAAATTTCATTCAGTTCATTTGAATTGTAAACTGTTTTGCATGCTGTGGAATTGTACTATTTTATTCTATAGATTGAGACCTGCCTATCAACAATTTCAAAATATAATCAAAACTTTGAAATCATCCTGAAGGAGTCCAATTAAAAAGCAGTATAACTCCCATTATTTTTCTTTGCAAATGAAAAGTTTCACTTTAAAAACGAAAACTAAATAGCTATTTATGATATGAGTGTTAAAATTAAGGTTTTATTTTGTAAGTGAAAAAGTTTGCAAAACGAGCGTAGCGAGTTGAGCTTTGAGCTTATTTTTAATACAAATATCATACAAAGTTTTTTGTACAACTGTCCTGTTTTCATAATGAAATAGATAAATTTAATATTTCTATAAAAACAAATTTTGACATTTCTTGTTAGTTAACTATTTTCATGTTATCGCATTTGCTGTGAAGTGGCCGTGTCAGGTGACGTCGAATGACCTTGTTACCAACAAACAGTATTGTTTACAGCTCACGCGTT